AAAATCTTTTTTGTTGTTATATATCGCAGAAGAAAGTATATCAGCTTTTCTGAGGGACAGGACAGAAGGAGAAAATAGGATTGTAGATCTGCAATTATAGGGTACAAAATCACACATATGTGAGAGAACATCTTACATTTATAGTCAATAGAACCATGATTGTCAATATGAAAAACAGAATCAACTCATTTAAAGGCGAAATGTAAGAAAAACAGTGAATAAAAGGAATAAAATAACTTATAAATTGGTTTGATCTCTCAGAGAAAAATCATAACCATTTTAAGGCTATTTGAATGTCTACATTACAAGCTAATTTCTTAAATTGTTTCTTCACACTATGGCTGCCTTCAGTTTTATATTTAAATTCCAATCTCTTATGCACAGACCTCAACTTCATTAATGTTTCCTTAAAGATTAGAGTGCTAGGAAGAAAAGATTTCAAAGTTCCTAAGGAAACTTGAGGCAGATGCTGTCATTCAGGCATAATTGAGAGGGGATCCTTTGGAGATGCCCCCATGGTTCCAAGACATGTTCCAGTCACGTGAGCAGAAAGACTTAGGCCTTGAGAATTTTAGCAGTTCGGTGGCAAGACCAGCAAGGAGTGCCCATCAACCACTAAACGTAAGCTCTGGTCCTCCGGTACTGCAGCCTGGCGACTGGCAGAGGGTGTGCACCTGCCTGTTCTACCCCGCTTGTTACACACGCGCCCGCTTGTTACACACGCATGTTCCACCTGCGGAGGTTCCTGCCTTGTCCGGTGAAGACAAGAGCTTTGTTTCCCTCAGAACTGACCGAAGAGGTGCCACCATGGCCTCAGGATGACTTGGAGCCATGTCCATGAGAAGAAAAAGCTCCTGTTTGTGGCCCTGACCACTGTGGAGTGGGCTTTGCCATGGCTTCTCCTGCATGTTTTTCTTAAATCGTGGAATCATTTTCTGGACTGTGCCTATGTTTTTTGGGTTTTTTTCCATTTGTTTTTTTGTTTTGTATTAATTTATTATTTAGTGTATCATATAATATTNTAACCATTTTAAGGCTATTTGAATGTCTACATTACAAGCTAATTTCTTAAATTGTTTCTTCGCACTCTGGCTGCCTTCAGTTTTATATTTAAATTCCAATCTCTTATGCACAGACCTCAACTTCATTATTTTTTTCCTTACGGATTAGAGTGCTAGGAAGAAACGATTTCAAAGTTCCTAAGGAAACTTGAGGCAGATGCTGTCATTCAGGCATAATTGAGAGGGGATCCTTTGGAGATGCCCCCATGGTTCCAAGACATGTTCCAGTCACATGAGCAGAAAGACTTAGGCCTTGAGAATTTTATCAGTTCGGTGGCAAGACCAGCAAGGAGTGCCCATCAACCACTAAAAGTAAGCTCTGGTCCTCCGGTACTGCAGCCTGGCGACTGGCAGAGGGTGTGCACCTGCCTTTTCTACCCCGCTTGTTACACACGCATGTTCCACCTGCGGAGGTTCCTGCCTTGTCCGGTGAAGACAAGAGCTTTGTTTCCCTCAGA